GAGGGGGAGTTGAAATTAAGTTTTGCTTAATGAGAGGGGGAGTTGAAATTAAGTTTTGCTTAATGAGAGGGGGTGGCATGACTTAGTTTTGGGGCATATTTCACCCATTTCCCAGCCCCCCTTCCAAGTAATTATTGCACAGTCTCTTAGTTTATTAGTTAGTTAATTAGTCTACGAAGCAGCTGTCTCTACCAACACAAAGAAAACTACAAAATTCGGCTTGGTAGTATTAATTACAGTATTTGTTATATTTAGCCGCGAGGTAATCGCCGACGACCGACACAAAACTATCTGTTTAGAACCGACAAAGCAACTCAAGTGCTATTGTCAAAGGTTAGCGAAATTTATTGCAATGCAATGTATAAAATGTGTTAGAGCATGGATTCAAATCATGAAGACCTTACAAGTCCTTTGAAGATATCTCGCCAAAGGCACTTGCCAAAGGCACTTGACAAGTGCCTTCAATAATTTTAGAAAACGCGACGGCAATTTCTAGAAGTCGCTTACCGCAACATGGTAATTCACTTCAGTGTGAATCTTCCGTGCAGAACCTTCAAGAAAAAGTTGTGAAGACTGAACAACTGAAGTAATCTTTTCGACAGATCAACGAATCAATCACTTTCTGCGTTCAGTTTTGCCTTTCTGTTATTTCACTAAATACACGAAATCAGTGACGGATCTAGGGGAAGGGCCCGGGACGTCCGGGCTCCCCCTTATTTTGGAAATACGTTTGATTTCTCCTGTTGATCACCTGATAAATCATGTGACTTTTCTTGCAGGGCTGCACATTTTGCGCGGTCAAATATTATTCTGACGCATCCATTTGTTTTCGGAATTTCTATGTCAATTATTGATTTAAAAAAAAGAGTCTGTCTAGGCAGGAAAAGAAGTAATTTTGTGTCCAAGAAATTGCCCTGGACATCGATTTCTTGGAAGTGAAACACGGAGGAGGTAGAATTTGTGTATTGCGTTGTGTCATGACAAAAATGGAATTTCTAACATCTTTTCTAAAGAAAATTGTACTCTTATGCACGCCTACTTTCTCTCCACCTCGCCTAAATAGATCAACTACAGCAAGAGTAAGACCCAGCCGTTTTTTTCCAAAGTCCTCTGCATGCATTAAAATTAAATTTCAAGCCTGATCATGTATGTGCAAAGATTATTCGACCTAAGACTACATGCTAAGAATGATAAGCCACACTTGATAAAAACTTTTACAGCAATAATTGCTGTGATTCAGCTAACATTAATTAAAACACTGATCTCAGTGATACACATGAAAATAAGGCCATTTACCTCGGTGTCTCTATGTGTTTTTTTTTAAGCAGGTCAAACTTCAGTTTCAATTTTCTTCTAGGTGACCTCCTGCTCTAGTTTTTCCACTTCTCTAATCCACTCCTCAATAGTTGCTATGGCGTTTGTTCTCTTTTCCGAAAAATCTTGTCTTTCAGTTTCCCTCTCTGAACGGCGAACGTTAACATCTGGTTTCTCTTCATCTGTATCTCCAGTACTTACTCCCATTGGAAATACTTTCTCTTTATATGAAAATGAGTGCGTTTCCTGGACTTGTTATTCAAACCACAATTCCTAGACTTGTTTTCATTTTCTTTGTCACTTTCTTCAACCTGTCCCTGGCATGAATTTTGGGCTTGAAGACTCGAAGGACTTTGTTCTTTCCTGTCGTCGTATTTTTTATCATCACCAACGTCATGATGCGCACAGGGATCAGCTCCCAGGCGTTCAATGGGAACAATCCTTATTCCGTTTCTTTGTTTGCCTGAATACATTTGCCCTCTTTGGTTGTTATGTTTTGTTTGATGCGCGTCTACATCTTCAACTCCTTCCACATCCAACTTTCTTGGCTTACCTTTCAGTTTCCCTTCGAAATCACTTGAACCAAAAGGATCTTTAAGAAACTGCTTGAAAGCTGAACGAAATCGTTTGGTTCGCAGATAGTAAATGATCGGGTTCAGAGCGCTTGAGATGTAGAGGCTGCTCGAGGCGATGAATGCAAACCAGGAATTCACCTGTTTTAGTTCCCGAGAACCCACCACTGCATACAGGATAGCAGGAACGTAGCAGAGGAAATAAGCAACTACTGTAATAACGATGGTTTTGGTCGCTTTGATTTCGCACTGTAGTCGAGCTTCAGCCTGGAGAGGTGGTAGGTTCAAATCTGCTCTCTGTATCAAAACAAGAGGGAGACGGAATTAGTTTTCGTGGCCACATCGGTGCGGAGTCCGCGAAATAAGGCCTGACTCGTGTAAATAAATAAAGAAGTAACTGGAGAAGCAGTAAATAGAGAAGTAGTAAAGCACGCAGGAGGGACTAGAGCAAGAAAAAGGTGTAGGGGAGTGTTTCTCCTTATTTCTTGAGTGCGCTATCGTTTCCTGTATGTGTGCTTTACAACAGAACAGAACTCGGTACTTTTATATTCGTTTTAAAAAAATCCGTTAATTTCCCCACGCATTCGGCTAATATTTTCAAACCAAAGCTTATTTACCGGTGGCGTAAGCGTATATCTGAACTCTCATAAGGCATGGTAAAATAAGTCAATCACAGTCCTTGTTAGAATTGTTCAAGTAATTTGATTCGCCAACGAGACAACACCTGTCGATCACAAACTGAACTTCAGCTAAACTTTCGGTAACGAGTTGCTTTCGAGAGAAAATGATCGTCTTAGTTTAGTACAAAAATAAAGATCTACAGATACTACAAGACTTACAATAACCTACAGCAGCAAAATTGCCCGACCTTGTGTTACAGGACAACTTGCATGAATTTCTAACTTTTATTTGAAATTGTGAAATATCGCTAAATGACGTGTTTGCTGTGATTTGGGGTTTTAATGATCAGGATTTCGTGATTAACACAGATGCCAGAAATGGTTTAAGAAAGATGTTGTTGATTTATTTTTTAGTGAAGTGAGACTTGATGTCTCCCGAGAATGACAGTATAGAGATATGTCCTACCTTCAGATTTCATATTTTCATATTTCATATTTCATATTTCCAGATTTCATATCTTCATATTTTCAAAACTCGGCTTAAAACTCATTTATTTAAGGAAGTCTTTTTGGAATAATTTTATTGATTCTTGTTTTATTTTATTTTTTAATATTATTCTAGTTTAATCGTATTTTATAACTTGTAAAGCGCCTAGATCACGTATGCACGCTTGGATAGGCGCTATTTATTTATTTATTTATTTATTTATTTATTTATTTATTTATTCATTTAGTTATTTATTTTATTTATTTATATGGGACAAGTTTGAGTAGAATTGGTATATGGTTTTACTTTCTTAGTAATAAATAAGCTGTTAGTGGTTTGGTTTTCAATTACGAATAAGGTCCTGGGTTTGTTTCACTCATGGCCCAAACGGGTCACTTTTATATCTTAAAATTGACTTTTATAACTTACTCTGGAGAACACATTTATGGCCTTCCAAGGTCTATGATTTAAGGAAGTGAGTTTTCATCAAATGACATGAAATGTCTTTGATTTATGTAATCATATTTTATAATCAGACGTATTCGTTATCATAGAGAATCAAATGAAATGATTGTGAAACTGATTATTGACGAGAAAACATATATAAGTGAACGCTTTAGAAATAGGAATTTAGCAGAAGGCTAAACCAGGTGATAGCGAACACGACAGAAAGTTTTTGACTGCGTGAAGGGACAGAACAAGTCCGGAGTATCTAGACGTGACTAAAACCAAGTAAATCAAATAATAAAAATGTAAACTATTCACTTCTTGTTCTGTGACCTTGGAGTACCTCTGCTCGGAGAGCATAACACCTCCTTTTTACACTAGCCTCAAGGTTGGAAAGACTAAACTGCTTCCACTGGGCAAGCTTTTATAATAAATCGCTCGTCCAGTGAGCATTGTAATTGTTGGGGTTCACTTCCCTGAGATGACGAGAGATCGCTATTCGCGGCCAACGAGTGTTATTTTGCCTATTTTTTTGCAAAAAAGAAAGCTCCTCATCATAAATACAGACCGCTCGGTTGGTGTTTTCTGTCGTTGTTTAACACAGACAGTATGATTTCTGCCTTCGTAATGAACATAACGTCTTTCATCGAAGCACTCGAAAGATTGAGAATTTCTTTACTTCACTACCTGATTACCGTTTTGTCGGAATCTAGCAACAAATGTAATTTTATTGCCAACAAGGGCCTTCATACAGCAGAAAAATAGCTCCTTGTGGAGTCAGCGGGGTCAAATTCGTCAAAATGCTGATGAAAAATTAGAAATAGACATTTCACGAAACCGAATGAGGTACCCTATTTAGTACTTATGAATAGATTGACCAGTCAGGAAATTTGCTACCCACAGGCGGATGTTCTTTTTATCTCGAACGAGTTTGTTTCCTTATGGTCATCTTTCAGTTTGCATGGCTTTATAAAAGCGACGAAGGACTACGAAGTGACATTGAACAAGAGATTGACATCAAATTTTATCCCCTATATTTATGGGATCGTTCAATTGTCGATGAATGTACCATTAGAAATGTGGAATTTTCCAGTAGCATTGACAGAAATTATAACCAGTACAGTGGAATCCGGTTAATATGGATCCAAAGAGGAACGAGAAAAATGTCCGTAGTGTCTGGGTGTCCACATTAGACCATATTAATCTCATTTTAGGCAATGTTGACTGAGTGTTCTCGACCATCAAAGTTAGCTGAAGAACACCACATATTTGTATGAATGAAGAATAAAAATATAGTATAAAAATATCCCGTAAAAATCGGCTCTCTAGAAAACGTAAATGGACTCGGACGGGTTTGTTATACTTGTGAAAATAATCTTACATTAATTTGTTAGTTCCTCTCGGTGTGCGTATATCTAATAACGTCTCCTTAGTAATGCAATTTGCACTCGAAGTGATAGTGCACTAACTCCGATTTGCAAGAATCAGCCAAGGGTTAGCCCCTGGCCCAATAAAGCGAATAAAAATTTGTTTGTTGTGAAAGAAGGTGAGCTATAAAAGTCTAAAAAGAGAAAAATTACCACTACAATATCAAGGTAAATTACGAAAACATTAAACGATTTAAATACCTTCTTTTGCTTCTTCTTGATTGCGCGGGCCGTTAAAAAACACACAAGTGCGGCAAAAATAAGAAAAATCACCAAAAAAGACATGACAAAGAGTCTTCCCTCCTTGAAGATCCTCTCTCTGTACTCCATCACATGAACATCACCAAGATTGAAATCGAATAGCGAGATTGAGGAAAAAGCCACCGACACGATACTAATGAACCAAGTTAGAAAAACAGAGAGAAGAGCTTTCCTGTTTGTCTTCCAGACAAAGTACTTAAGGTCAAAAGAAATGGCCAAGTACATATTTGTCAACATGACGATCATGGAAGCAAGGTTGAGAACCGTAAAGAGTCTATTTAAGACGACTGTCATGATTCCCAAGGCTTTGCCTTTGAACCAACTGGCCTCGAAGACGTAGTATATCATATAGGGCGGTACGGTGATGGCTGCGTTGACCAGATCCACAAAAGCAAGATTGGCGACGAGAATGTTGGGAACTGTTCGTAACGATTTAAACCGCGCAATGACTGCAAGAACGAAACCATTACCCAGGAAACAAGCGCAAGACAGAATGACTGTTAACACGCCCATCACAACCTTGGCGAAAAGTGGTTTGGCTTGATGCATTTTGAATTTTTTCTTTTACTCCATGTTAAAACGTTTTATAATCGGGCGACCACGAGACCTTCTGATCATGTAATTAACGCTGGCAAACATTAAATCTTTACTGGACAAAAGTTTTTATGAAAGTTAATTTCCTGTAAAATAATGAGACAAAGAAACAAAACCATCGCCTACGCAGATGCTTTGCCACGGAACGAAAATCTCATCTGCCAAAACTTGCACGAGGAAAAATATAAGTTTTTCTTCATCTTTGGTAATTTCAAACTATTTTTGACTACCAACGAAATTTCCAGAATCTTAAATCTGTTGAGAAATATCGCAACCAAATTTATTCTTCAAAAATTCCTGGCAACCTATATTGGGAAGGGTTTTGGAAAAGACAATGAATTTTCTGTTGTATTTTAATTGAAAAAAAAAATGTCTATGTCATAGGTGACTTGCGCGGAATCTTTATTTTTTTGTACTTAACGGTCATTTTCATGTGATGTGCTATTTGATCATATTTGACCAGATTTTCTCAACTATTTCATTAATTAATCGGTGGCTCGCAATAAATGCTAGATCTTCAGGGTAGGGTATGCGGTGTAAAAAAGCTCTTCAAGCATTTCGAGGTGAGGCAAGCTTTAAATATTATGATAAGATACATGGCTGTCACGAATTATGACTACTAACCCTTTCTTGATAAACACCGGCTAGAATGAACATACATCGGTCCAAACAGGACCAAACAGGGGGGCCCTTTACCCTCCTCGCTGAGTCAACCGACGCCGAGCCCAAAAGGTCAAGTGAGAGACAGAGAAGTTAAATAGATATATTGTCATACGTATAGCAATATTAGATAAAGAATACTGTAGCATGATTATATATATAATTTGGCAATTCTAAAATGATAACTTAGTTTCTTTTTAATCCCACAATGGTCCCAATACCTGAAATGTATTTTAAAACAATTAAAAATAACATCTACATTTAGCCAAGTCTAAAAGTGGAGCTCCCATAAAATACTAATCGTTTGCTCGACACAGTAACATTGAAAAAATTCCCCAATAAGCATTTCACCGAACCGAATGAATTGAACAAGCAAAAATAGGAAATCTTCGTAAACACAATATATGCAAATCGCTATGTGGGATGATCAAATCAGTAGCGAATCCTGTTCGTTTTTGAAGCGTACAATTCACAAAGAAAGATGGACAAATGAAAGAAATGTTAAAGATACTTCATTGAAGCCAAGAAACGCCTTAACAAGTAGAAAAACGTCCAAAACTTTAAATTCCAAACCAGTGGATAGTGCTTTTCACGCATTTTCGCAGCTCTTGAGAGCCGTAAGCAAAATGATTCCATGGTTTCCAGCCGCAACAGTCTATGAAGCAGCTGTCCCTATCAGTACTACAAGAACTACAAAATTCGGCTTGGCGGTGTTTGGAAATAACGCTGAGCGCAATTTGATAGCTTTGTAATGGAGTTTTATAGCAATTGGCACGCAGCGATCGTAGATCATCGTAAACCAGGCTGAATTCTGGGCTGTAAGTCTAAAACAGGTTTTAGTTTAGTTCTGTGTTGGTTTAATTTGACGTATGGGCTGCATGATTTGCTTAAAGCATATTCAAGACAATTCAGAAAGCAATATTTACTCACCAAATATATTTGTCGCTTGTCGCTTTTAACTCGTTAAGTTCTTGGCACCGATGATCGCGACATCAACTTTGTGTGTGACTCGTGTTACAAACGTGAGGTGTGTTTCCACTTTGTTGCTTTCCAGTCAACATTTGTAATGCATGTAAGACGCCTCATGGCGCTAGATTAAGATCTGTGACTCATCTGTTGTGCAAAGCCGAACTGTAACAAGTGAGAGCCATCTGCAAATGGCGAATGAATGAAGGATGTACAAGGCGCGCAAAAGAAGGTTATCAGATTGCTTTATATCAAAATAGTTACCACAATATGCTTCACAAATGAAAAAAATATTCAAGGAGTCAAATGGTCAAATCAGCTGTCATGGGCTACCTTTTTTGAACTTTAGTATGATGCGACATAGCGCCCGGCCAGGTGAGCATCGTATGGGTAACGTTTCGCGTTTCGATATTGCTAAATATACCTAATTAAACGAATGAAATTAGTAAGACTGCAGCATTGACATCGGGTTGAAAACTGAACTCCGATAAAAGAAAAATTGCTAAGGGAAAAACTGCAACAAATGCAACTCTATGGATGAATGCAATAAAAACAAACAAACAAACAAGTTGCCTACTTGCTGACAAAAGGCGTTTGCACTGATCTGCAAAAGTTTATAATCGATAGGACCTAAACATGGGAAGTCAATTGAAAATTTTAAAAAAAGTTTTGAAATGGTTCGAAATTTTTATTGCCTTCTGGCGGCCTTCTCTTCTTTCCAGTGTCGTCAATGAAAGTCATTTCATTGATAAAAACCTCTTTGTTTCCCTTGCTAGCGATGGAATATTAATAGACTGTGTTAGTGCTTTATTTCGTTCTTGATTTTACATAAGAACTACCTTCATAACATTAAACCTGACAAATATTCCAATAGAGAATAAATGAAGGTTAAATTAATGTGCTTTCATTAAAGATAAAATTCATATCTACGAGTTGCACAATTTCGTCTTTAGGGTCTAGGCAATATTCAGAGAAGCTTTCAGCAAAGCTCTTTTAATGTTGATACTGATTTTACAAATTTTCTAACTGGAGGCTCTAAGTAAGAAATTAATAGCGGAAATCTAAGTAGCTTTGGACAGTTAGGGCAATAATTACAACTTAACATTCACATACATTAACATTCTGAGAAAAAAAAAGAAAAGTGCAATTTTGTGCTCCACTACATAAATCAAATTATTTCCTGTAACTCCACTGAATAGCATCAGTAACGAGCTTGGCAACAAAAACCTTAAATTGACCCTGGGACATATTGAAGATCTGCCGACCCAAAGGCTAGTCAAGATATTCAAGCATTGTCGATTGTTATTAGTGCTTTTATTTTATTATTTTTAACGGATTTTTTGATTTGAAATTGGTATTTCAAGTTATTGATAAATTCACCAAAGGTTCATGTCTTGGCGTACACTTCCATATACTTAACAATAAGATTATGAGCTCGAGATTTCTATCACGCATAGAATCGAGAGCGAATAATCTAATAGTTTTAGTATAAATCTACAAGTCATTCAGAACTTATCTAAATCGAAAATGCAAAGAAGCGGCAGCCAGCGCACGCTGCTGTGCTACTCACTATCTACAAATGACAAGCGTAGCCAATCAGAGAACGGTTCTCGTGATAGAACGCTAGTAGATTTATACTAAATACAGATATGTGTTACCCGTCGTAAATTTTGAAATGCTATAGCACTGTAAAAGATTTCTTCTGTTGTATGGTCATTATTACAACGGTTTGGGAGTGACAGAGTACACCTCTAACCTCTGAGAGTGCAAAACCTGTCAACAGCTAAGGGTTGGCTCACACGAGCGACATAACGAGCTGGTCGCGAAAACCGACATGTAAAAACCTGAGGAGAAGATCCGTTTTTTTCCTTATGTTGTTATTAAGTTGCTGTTATGTCATTATGTTAGGATGCACACTACAACAATAACGACATAACGTCCTTCTTTTTTCGTTATGTTTATGTCGTTTATGTGGCTAGTGTGAACTATTTCTAACAAATGGTTTTAGAAATAAGTTTTTAAGTGAGGTTTCTGTTTATTATTCATGTAGGTCTTTTGGTTATTTTCTTTTTATAATGCCGTGCTATTACGCTCTGTGTAAGCAGTACTTCCAAGCCAAGTTCAGAAAACAATAATTGGAGGCTCCGTAAATGATTTTTGCTCATGATCAAGATTTGTATCGACACAAATTTCGTTTCCAAGTTTCCAAGTATCCTTTTTACCTAAAAGCAATCAGACCGCCGAAGGATTTTTACTGGAAGTTTATCTAAGAGTGTTGAATATAATTATGTTGAGGGAATCATTATCTTAATAATGGTTCAGAAGCTTTTCACAGTCGCTTTTTAACCTTTCCGCTCATCTGAATCACTAAGATTGACTGGCATCCATAGCTTATATCCATAAGAATTACGTTGCTATTAATTTAATCTGACAAAGCTTCCGCTCTGTTAAGATTGGTCAAAAAAGATCATTAATTAAAAAATCTTATAAAAAATATATATTACAAATGATTAATCCATCTTTAGCCATTATGAGGACGGTTAAGACTGCCATGCTGTTTCCGATGAATTCATCAATCATTTTTTGGATATTAGCTACTCAAAAATTGGCAGCCGGCTTCTCAACTAAAACCTGGAGGATGGTTGCGAGGGTCATTTGTGTCAATGCTGGAGACGAAAAAAGAAGCTAAGTGGAAAGTTTGGGGAAAAAAGGAAGAAATCCAGACGACTTCAAGCAATATTCCGGCGAGAATAGTATTAAGTACACAACGAAAATTTTGTCTTATTAGACTTTCTTCAGCCTTGTCCTATTTGACTTTCTTCAGTTTGCAGAACTGATATAGGTGTATGACAAAAGCTTTGGTTTGCTAAGATTTTTCTTTCTATTTTGTTTATTACCAGAAAAATCTTCAATGAATCGCTCCTCTATAGATAGACCTGGCTATATTTCAGAAGCTCCTTCACGGGACGTTTCTATTAGTATTGTCATACTCCTGACAATCGTTTTCTTAACGGGAACTGTTGGCAACGCGCGAGTCTGTGTCCTGCTCCGAAGACGACATGACCTACGCAAAGTTCCTCATTTCCTACTGGCAAGTCTCTCATTGACTGGATTTCTGTCTTCGCAAATAAAACTGCCAGCACACTTGGCAGTGATAATTGTGAATTATTTTTTCGTCCACAAAATATCCTTGGATGTGATCTGCAAACTGGGATTTTCTTCGGCGATGGGTTTTACTGTATTGAATGCTATAACTTTGTCGCTGATGGCCATTGATCGATATGATTGCGTTGTTCGTCCTTTATATCGTCGTTTATCACCATCTAATGTCAAGAAAGTAATTTTGCTTGTTTGGATCGTGGCATTACTTTTATCTTCTGTCCATGGAGTAATGCTACACCACGAAAGCTCCACCTGTTTCCATCTTGATCCTTATAGCTCTCCTACCACTTCATCTGGCAGTCCTGCTTTTACAGTTTACACAATGTTTCTAGGCACATTACCTAACGTAACCACTGTCATGATTATCGCTTTTACACTTTGTTTAATCGTCAAAAAGCTTCGCTCTTCTCTTTTTCCTCGTTTAGGTTCTTTGAACCGACGACGAGAACACGAAATTACCAAATTAACTTACAAAATATGTGGTGTATTTCTACTCTGCTGGTTTCCAGTCATCATTTGCAATATCGTTGTCCGAATTGGTGGATTCCATGGAGATATAATCCGAAAAGTTAAATTGTTTGCGGTGGTAATCTCAAATTTTAATTATGTGTTGAATCCCATTCTTCATTTTAAAATGCTACAAGTAAGACTGCCTGATGGTGCCAGATTAAGATCTGTGTTGCGAACCAGGACTGGAACTGCCCAAAGCCGTGTGCAAATGGCTGATACTTGAAATGAACAATTATCGGATTGATGTATATCAAAATCGAGTTACATAATGTGCTGAAAAATCAACAAAACAGTCAAGGAGTCAAATGGTCAGGCTACCTTTTTTGACCTTTAACATCATGGTGCGACAAAGGGAACTGCTTCATACATGTATATTGATATCATGACAACTTTAAACGAATTGTGCTTCAGGTGTGCATTATTTTGAGAACGTTTCACATTTCGCTATTACTAAATAATCAAACTAACTAGATGAGCTACAAGTTAATATAATTGGAACATTGACATCGTGTTAAAAACTGAAAAACTCCCATTGTGTAACCAAAAAACATTACTGAGGAAATGTCGCAATAAGTACATCTTTATGGATTTAGTGCGTGGCTTTCTTTGCGCCTTAATTCTTAACGGTAAAAAAAGAAACAAGTTACGAACTCGTTGACAAAAGACCTATTCAGAATTCACTGTTCACTACTCACACCTATTCGCAAAGGTTGACCAACGATCAGACCTCAAGATAAGAAGTCAAGAGGTTTTGAAATGGTTTGAAATTTCATTGGGAAAAGCCTCTTTGATTCCCACGCAGGCATTACAGTAAAAATGCATATCTTACTGCTCTATTTGGTTCTCGAGTTTACATGAAAATTACCATCACAGAAAATAATCCTGACAAAGGTTACAATAAGATTAGGAACTCAAAGAAGTCCTGTAAAAGTCCACTGAAGGATAATTAAAGTGCTATCATTAAAGATATACATTTAAAGCCCATATCTGTGAGAGTCATGATGTTCTCTTAAGAATCCAGAGCAATATTCAAAAGAGCTTTCAGCGAAGGGCTTTAACGTTGATTCTGAGAGAAAATGAGCGGACGGAAAGCTCCTCCTGTTTCCATCTTGATCCTCATGGCTCTCAGCACCGTGTCACCTAAAGATATATGTCAATAACTTTGTTTAAATAACAGGCCTCCAGAAAGCAAGTGAGGGTAAACTTTGCGACAGCCCAATTTTGCGTTATATGCCNTAATGTCAAGGTCAGAGTGTGTTATTACTTATGCTTACGTCGGGCTTGATTTGGGGTTCGTTCCGCCCATTCTTGGGGCGAAAGTGAGTGCAAATGGTATATCACTGCAACGAATTATCTTTTGGAAATCCAGTTGGAATTTTCATCCCTGTAGCTAGCTTTTAAAACAATTTCATAAGGCAGGTAGTGAGGAAGAAAGAGCTGATCATTAAAGGAGAACCATAGTGATAGAGCCCAATCGTCGCCTACAGGACATTGCCATATTAGTTTTTAAAGCTGTAAACAGTATGTTACCGGGATATATAAGTGACGTGTTCGTCATACGTAATAATGAGGAGTGCTTGAGAGGCACCAACAAGCTCGTAGTCCCACATAAGAAAACCACAAACTTTGGCTTAAAATCTACAACTTTTATTGGTGCCAAAGTGTGGAATTCTTTACCGGATGAATTACGTTCAATGATAATCCTTAAGGAATTTATAAATGCTGTAAGAGAGCTAAATTTGTGATAAACAGTTTTCTATGATTCGCTGTAATATTTTAAGATTTAGGACTGTTTGTTGTTTATTTATTGATATACAGTCGAACCTCCCGTAAGCGACCACCCAAAATGTCAAGCCCAGGTGGTCGCTTACGAGAGGTGGTCGCTTACGAGAACTTAGACCAAATTGAGTCAAACTCTTGCCTCATTTAAGACTGATAAAGTACAGTGTATGTGCATTTTTTTCTATAAATTTTTAACTGTGTTTCCTTGTGGAAAGTTGGTTTTGAGAAAAAAATTCCGGTAATTCCTATTGAGAAATTCCGTCTCTTGAACAACCCAGGAATACAACTCCATATTACCTAATTTCCGCTCTATTATCTGTCAAATGGTCGTTTACGGGAAGTTAAAAACAAAAGAAAATTTAAAACTTTCAGCTCTAAAAGTGGTCGCGGTCGCTTACGAGAGGTGGTCGCTTACAAGAGGTTCCAAATATAGTGATTTGACTTCAAAACTTTTGGTATTTTGGAAAACTGGTCGCTGAGGAGAGGTGGTCGCAACCGGAGGTTCGGCTGCACTTTCGCAGGACATGCAGCATAGCTGGTCACAACTTTTTTAAGTGGGCGAAGACTGGAGCGTTGTAATATGTCAACAGGTAATTTCGTAGTTGCAATTTCCTCTATTTTAAACCGAGACAATAGGGGCAGGTCATTATGTTGCAAATCAAATCATTTCCATTGATTTAGCATCAGAACTCGTTTTAGGGATAAAAGGCGTTAACCCGGAGAGGGGTTTTTCGCCTCCCTATCCCTTTGCCGTTTACGCCTGGTTACTTGGAAATAGCCAACGAAATCTTCGGTTTTAATTGTATACAGTTGGTGTGATACCTAGGCCTCACCAGCTCAACTAACTCAACTACGATTCTTGTTAAGGTTTCAAAGGTAAAGTAATGTTACGAGCTGTAATAAACGCGCGATTTCACACTGATTTGCTGGTGAATTTTCGATGCTATTGTAAACGATTATTAAAAAAAAGAACACTCAAAAGACAGTTGAGATGCTACAAAATGTCCAAAACTTAGCAAATTTGAGTGTAGTCTACGTCTACGTGTAGAAAATGGAAAACAGCGAGTCAAATCTGAAATTTGTACGCAGTTAATGTACACGTAAAAGGCAACAATCCAAGAACTGCATCTTCCACGCGCGAGTAAGTCTGCTACTCAATTAACTGACACCAAGTTCACAGAACACAAGTCTTCACACGAAAGAATGTCATAAAATATTTTACTGAGCAGTTGTAAAGATGGTACACCATACTAATGATACAGTCAATTTAAAAAGCCGCTTCCTAAACATCTCCTATTCGGTGAAAAAAAATTACGTTTGTAAATTAACATAATGGTTCTTTACACTAACGTTATCCCCGCCAGAGCACACTTAAAATTGTCAAGGCTCTCAGATAACCAGCACAGGGAGACACTTCTATTCTAGTGAAAAACATTGTTGCAGCTGTTCAAAATATTATAATCACTTAATAAGCGGCAATCATAACGACAAGCATTCCGGATTCGAAAAGTTTCGGTCAGAAGCTAGGGCTGTCAGCAGTGTGAATGTTTGGGAAAAAGCGATAGTTTTTACAGTGTTGAGTATCAACTCAGCAAAGCCGGCGTATAAAAGCCTTCCTTGGCGCCTGGAATTGCTACTAAAACAAAAGAATAACAAATTCAAGGAGGTTAAAAGACGCTATATGCAGAATATTGTGTCTAAAATCTCCTGAAAAGCTAGGAAGGATAAACAGTTTTGAAACTTTAACGCGGAACAGATGCATTTTTTGGATAAAACGTCGCCAAAGTTCTCTAGCGTCCGTATGGATGGAATCCACGAGAAACATTGGGGGTCCCTCGTCCAAAATTCTCTCCACCTCCATAGGCACTTGGTCCATAGCCTGTTTGGTCGGCATTAGCCCCATAGCTACTGTAGCCGCTAGCATCTGAAGAGAAAGATGTTCTTGCAGGACCATAACTGGACTCTTGTTGCTGATAGTTACCCAGGCCTGTGAAAAAAAACAACAAACAGCATCAATTAATGAAAACACATGAACTCCAACACTGGTATCATATTGTCACAACTGCATTATTCATATGTACGGTCAAGGATGCTCCCTTAAGGTTTCCATAACCTCGCTGATTTTAGAGTTTCATTTTATTTCAACAGTCCAGTTTTGAGTCACCCCACGTTTACCGAATACATTGGATACACAACAATTTAATTGAAGGTAGGGACCCAAAATGCATAGTCTGCGTTCAATGTGTTGGATAACTTGAAACTGGACTATTGTTCCATTTTACCCATTGACTCCTTAACCATCCAAAACCGGTCTCGAAGGAAGTTGGCCCTTGTGCCATTCGTACAATCATCTCCCAAGTTTGTCTTTGGGCGCATAGCCATTATCATACCCATAGCCAAGCATGACAGTGCAACACTTGGAAATGAAATTTTCACAAAACTGCGAGAGGTGCAATAAAATGGGCATGCTTTCTCACCATATGCTGAATAATCTGCGGCAGCAGGGGTTTCCAAGCGAGGCTGGGCACCAGGGGCAGCAGCAGGTATTCCCCCTTGTGATGCAGCTGTCATCTGACTATAGTCAGGATACCCTCCTGATGTTGCAGCCATAGATGCTGCTGACGTTGGTGCAGCACCATAACTTGGTCCATACGCTGTGAAAATCAACCGTATAGGTTAGGAACATCAAAGCAGAACAACTGTCTTCATATGATAGATCTTTGGAAATGGCTGGTTCTAAAACCATGGAAGTTACTCAGCAATTGACGCAACTGAAGCTACGTTGGGTTCATACATTCTCATAAAAATATTTTTTGAGCAAAGGTGAAGACTTCTTCTATACACTGGTAACATTTCTTTTCAAGACTCAAACAAAGTACTCTCAAACAGGAAACTGGCTACCGTGATGATTCAATTTAGCGCCCCCTTTTTAAAGAGCACCCCCTTCAAATGTGTTTTTATTTAAGTGCCTATGAAGTAAAAAATAATTGCTGCTTATTTGAAAGGCTTTTCAAAGTAAAGACGAATGGCGTTTTCCTTTTTGGAATATCTTTTTTCGTTTAAGAGATATTTACGTTTTTGTACCATGCAAATGAAGAAAGTGATGACGTAATAGGTGGTCCCACTTAAACAGTACAACATAAATATCTCTAGAAATATTAAAGCAGTGTTCTTTAAACTTGGCACCAGAAATGTACATCACAAAAGAAACAAAATGACACCCATTGTGCCGTTGCTATGACAACAGTTATGCCGCTGATCCTGTTTTAACTAAGACTAAAATTCCCAGATTTTATCTTAAACAAGGATCATCCACTCGCAGCAACCTAAGGGGGAGAGTTAAGACAATAGGGGAACCATGTGTGTTCCGAGCAAGACCCTCTATCCCACTTTAAAAGATTGCAAATAGGGATATTTGGTTTTTTTTCATAGAATGAGAGTGGACCCAAGAGTGTTGCCATGGCAACAACATAGTAGGTGTCATTCTGTTTCTTCCGTGATGTACATTTCTGGTGCCAAGTTTGAAGAACACTGCACTGGAGATATTCTCGATTCTGCATTTTACTGTTTAAGCAGAACTATTTATGATGTCATCACTTTCCGAATTTGCATAATACAAAAAACGTGAATATCTCTAAAACGACACCGTCAAAGCTATCGCCATCAAAATAGATTAAATTTCCCACCATATATTTGTTACGGTTACAGTTTCTGTTATTGTTCCTTTTTTTAAATAAAAACAATATTAAAGTTTTGTTTTGAACATTTGGTTGTTTCTCAGTAAAGAAATAGGTGCCCTGTCCCAAATAAACGCCCTCTCTTCAGGTACTAAAAGTAAATAAGCGCCTTGGGCACTAAATCGAATCATTACGTAACTGAATTTTAATAGACAGAACTTGCAACAGCTTACATAGCACCAAGACAAAGTTGGCATTTTCAGTGGAGCAGTTTACTGGCCATGCGAGACAAAGTGGTCATTCTACATCAGACACAATTTGACTGCAAACATTTAAAAAGCTTGTGAAACTTAGTAATTAGTCAGATGTCTAGCTCTTTGGGCTAATACTGATTCCCATATTATAATAAAAAGCTCTTGCACTGTTACTGTTATGAACCTTTGTTGTCTTGATTCTTACCAGCAGAGGTAGCAGGAGCAGCTTGTGCACCATACATAGCACTCTGATCAACATATCCTCCTACAATAAAAGTCAAATTATTAATTAAAGAAACTAAAAACAGTCTCTGAAACAGCCAATATTAACATTCAATAGTAACATGGAGTATAACTCCAACCTTACACCAAAATAATATTGTTTGGTCAGCTAAACCCCAGAGTTTGTATCTAATTAAATACCTTGGCTCAGTAATAACAGTATGTGGTGCTCAGGGTACTGTCTCAGTTATAATTTCATAAGGCAACCTAGATTATCACGCCCTATTTTACTATTCTGGTGTTTATTTTCGAGGGTACCTTCTGGGAAAATCTTCCTACATAAGAAAGGAAACCACAGAAAACTTGAATCTGACATGGTACAAGTATAGTATAACTCCAACCTAGACAAGGGATTGCATTCACAAAATTTGAAGGAAGTAGCTATGCTACAAAGCATCCAGTAGCGTTTTTAATTTTTCATACATTTGTACACTTGAAGTGGCGTGAACATGTAAGCCGCATACAATTTCGCAAAAAAAAACATAGACCAGTATCTTAACTTTGCTATTCATAAAACTGTCCAGAATTAGACTTAAAAGAAAACGTATTTGCCATAGAATTCCCATACAAACACTGTAATTTCTGACCACTTTGCCTACCCATCAAATTGGCCTCCAAAACTGTTAGGTCAATTCCCACATTACTGATATACTAATTTGACAATGCCATGCTTTTCCAACTTTTTTCATTAAAACGAAATATCCACCTCACTATTCGATTTATCATGCTATATTATGTAACTCTGCAGAGTTCTAACTGAATTCGTTCCAAACTCATGGAAACATGGGAGGGATCCACAAGGACGGCTAATGAATTCATTTCTTATCTTATCAAAGATAAAGATAAGTAAAACTTTCAAAAACTTTGATTAGTTGTTTCATAAATAACTCTTTCGAGTTTCATAATTCAGCTCGGTCCTGATATAAAGCCTTCAACAAGAGTTAATACACTTTTCATCATTTGGACCATTAGCCTGCGAACAGGCTCCCAGCGAGGATGGGAAAAAAAATTTGGCGAGTGCAAAACTGAAGAATTTGGAGAGCAAAATGATCGGGGCGGGGACAGGGAAGCCTGTAGACTTTGTTTTTGATGTGCCTATCCGCCCTTGGTGATAAGCCTGTAAAAAATCAGTCAATGAGTTAATTAGACCTGTCAAGAAGCTACATTTTTGGTACTTGCAAACAGTTCTAATCGAGCTAATCAAATAGCTGGGTCGGGTGTCATAATATAGAGTGCAAGTAAGCAACATGTTCACGGAATATTTCAAACTTAACTTTGTCCCTCCAATGAACCAATACTTAGAGAGCTTAAAACATATTTGCAATACTGAAGTGAGCCTAAAGAAATTATAAGCACATGATAGAGGTGTCAACTCTGCGAAGCCTTTGACCTCTAAAAAAAATTGCTATAGCACCGCCAAACGGCTCCACTCCACTAGCTTCTACTTAAAATTCCTCCTCGTAACAGGGCATAAAGTACCCTTCAGAATCTCTTGTGAAGTAACGAGAGACCGAAACTTAAAAGAGAACGGCAAATGTATTACTGTAACGAACCGCTGGAGTAGTATAATTTTACAAAGATCTGTCAAATATTCATCTCAAATATGTCAACAATCAGCGATTTAACCAATCATATCATGATACCAGGAGCTGGTATCATAGAACAGCGGCATCAATAGAATGTCCACAGGCTCCCTCGCTTCGTTCGGGCTCACCGGGAGCCTGTTCGCAGAAAAATAATTACACGTTATGCTTAAAAGTAAAAACGATAACGATATGTACAATCAGTAAGATAACAATAAGTAATAAAAGACACAAAAGGTAAATTTTCTTGATATTGTTCTTGAAGGCCTTTAAAGTTCAATAGTTCTGTGTGAATCTGGTAGCAGGTTGCACAGCTTTGGCGCCAGGTAACGCCACGATTTCATCCCGTGGGTTGAATTGATGACCTAAGCCAGTTTTAGAATGTCAGTTCTCCTCAGATCATATTTAGTGTTTCTAAAATCTATAATTTTTTATGATTGTAGGAACATGATCGTTAATAGCTTTAAAAATTGTACAACCTATTTTTGAATATATCACAGAATAGGTTTACGTGCTCCTACTAAAAGCCATGCAATAAAACATCATTCCTGTACGTGTACATTGTGCATTAGTTTCTTTCGTGACAAATGTCTTCTTATGACGTGGAATTTTTTGTTGTCGATACAGAGCGCACTAAGACGAAAAATCTCGAATGCGGAAATTTCAATTTTGTAGCACATTGAGTGATAAACTAGAAGGTAGAAGAGTCCGATTTCGAGCCCTGGTGCCCAGGGTTGGGCAATACACTTTACCATCAGTGTTTCTCTTCTCCATGCAACTGACCTGACAACATGCTGCAAAGGAGACGGAGTAGGGACTGATGCAATAGCCATCCTCCGTAATATAGAGGCATTACAATAAGTAAAAAGAAGTGGCTAAGCGTCTTATGTAAAACATTTCAATGTTTCAATTAAAACATCTTAATTTTAAGAGTTAAAACTCTTAACACCCCAAGAATACTAATAGCACTAAGAACTGGACTTGCTACTACATGTAATCTCGGAAGACGTGGATATCCATCTTAGAATGGATGCGTAAACGCTCAGCCACTCACTGCAAAATTTTTCTCTCCGTCAAAAATGGTTCGCTACTCGTTCTGACTGTGTAACCAATATTTGACGGCTATGCCACCGAGTAGCAAGCAGAGTTGCGGTGCATTCTTCAATTAAGCCCATCTTGGTATACTCTTTATTATTGCCTCAGGAAGTTTCTCCACCTTTTCCTTTAACTGCACTCCTTCAAGGGCAGACCATAGCTCCAGATCTGTGTAGCTTGAGAATGGGTCCATGTTTCTTCTCAAGCTACCTCCAAAGAGTACCGGGTCTTGGGCAATCACGGCCATGGAACGTCGAGCCCTTTGAAGATTAAGGCTTCTTATGTCGACATCGTCAATAAAAACCTGGGAAAAAAAATTTGCAAATCGAATACAATATTAACTTCAAATAAATAATTCCACTCAGTGTTGTTTTCCCGTGTCAGCAACAGCAGATTAAGTACCAGAGTGCTGCAGCGTCGTTATTGTACCATAAAAGTGGATAACACTTTAATTTAAATGAATACGACTTTTACCTGCCCTTCTGGTTCTGGCATACGCAAAAGTGCTGCAACAATGGATGACTTGCCAGCTCCTGTTCGGCCTGCCACACCTATCTTCTCCTTGTCGGTAACCGATACGTTGACTTCCCTCAGCACACGAGGACCGCCTTCAATGTACTTTAAGGACAAATTTCTGATGGCTATGCTTCCACTCTGTGGCCATGACTCAGGCGGATGGTTCTGTGTGCTGTATCCGGGCTCTGCTTCCAAACCAGCGTACGAAATAACTCTTTCTACTGACGTCATGAGATTTTCAACTTCAGAACACGCTCTGATACCATACTGAACTTCATCTAATGATTCCAGCAAGAAAGCAAGGGACATACCAGCTAAGGCTGCGGGGAGATTGTCGGGGAGATTGTGAAAATAGTAATACAAAGATTAGTAGAAGTCGAGTGATCAATTATACAAAATATTGATAATTTTGTATACTATGGTGTCTTTTCATGTACTACTAATATAATATAAACACTGCTTTCATATTAATGCCTCTCTGTCTGTTATACTGACCGTCGGTCTGCCAGTTATTCTGTTGGTCTGTTGCTCTTGATCTATCTAGCACTCCGTATATGGTTGTGGGGTTTGTCAGACTAACGGTCTGTGGTTCTGCTAGACTAACGGTCTGTGGGTCTGTTTGGTATGTTGATCTGCGGACTTTCGGTTGGTCTGTCGATCTGACAGTCTGACAGCGTGCATCTCAATCTGTTAGTCTGATGGCTTGTCAGTCTATCAGTCTTTCTGTAGGTTTCAAGGTCTGTCCGTCGTTTTGGACCATCAGTGCAAGTTTGTAACTTTGTAAGTTTCTTGGTCTGTCTAGATCTCTCTGTCTCTTTTCTGTCTTTTTCTGTGTGGCTAACTCCATCGGTCTTACTTTCTGTCTGTCTGTCTGTCTGTCTGTCTGTCACTTTGTTCATCTCACAGGTGATCTGTTATCAGTTCTGTTTCGGTAAGTTAGTCTGAAAGATTTTGGTTTGTCAGTTTGTTAGCCTGTCTGTTTCCATCTATTTCTTTTTTCTTTGTCTGTCTTTGTCTGTCCCCAAGATTGGCTCTGTCATTATGCTTGTTTGCTGGTTGTCCGCTCTCTCCGTTTATGTGACGTGTATGGTTGCCGCATTACACCCCATTTTTTATAAGATACCTCCAGGATATCTCTAGAGAACTATTTTTTACTATTTTAAAGCCATAACGTCCAAGAGTCGTCCAAGAGTCGCCTGAAGCGACATCTTGACTGCAACGAAAAGCGATGGAGTGCATGTACAATTTTAACACGATACAGAACTAGGCAACACTTGTAATTGATACATTCTAAAACGGAAATGTCATACGCCATAGTCTAAGAATATTTACAAGAATATTTTCAGCCTAAAATGGGCATTATTCAGCCTGGGCCGGAAAACAATATTCTTACCAGGACAGGGTAATAGTGACTTGCAAACATGAAAGGGAGAAAGTTCTGTATTTAAGCAATAGAGCACTTTTCCCGTGTTTACATAGCCTCATCTAAAAACGAGGAGGGTTTGCATTACTTTCGAAAATTCTCCCAACCACTCGAGTGTTTAGATGAGGCTATGTAAACACAGAAAAAGTGCTTTATTGCTTTTATAAAATAATTCGCCGGTAGTAGCTCAGTCATTTTATAAATCGAGTTATGTACGCCCAATATTGAACCATTGTACCAGTTGTAAATAAAGATACTACTCAGATTCACATTAAAGAAAACTCATTTCCTTTCGCTATGATTGCGAACTGGACTTCAGAAATACAATGTATATCGAGAACAATAGAGGAAACAAGCACAGTTTTTGTTTACGTTCTAACTTCTTACCCATGACACTTTGAGGTAATCTTACCAGGGCTTTGGGAAGCAAGGACTGCCCCGAAAGCTGCAGCAGCTGTCATAAGACTGCAGACAAGAGTCATGCGAAGACTAAGCCACTGAGTGCTGGTTATTACCATGATTAATGCTGAAGTGTTCTCATCCTGGTATCTAAAAGTAAATTGATACAAAAAATTGAAAGTGGTCGAATTCTAGAAAAAGGCCTGCTTTCTGTGGATAGGCAGATCATTTCTTCGCCAGTCAACATCGCGTGCTGTAAGGATTTTAATTCATTTTTCCATCACTTCGTAGTTTTTTATTAATGACTCCTTTAAAGAAATAACCAGAGGGTTTGGATAAAGTGTAACTGATAGCCAGGAGCTTCAAGGCCTGACTCATTGCTAAGAATTGGTTATAATTTTAATCCTCAGTTGAGAAATGGCGCGTTTTTTAAGGTTACTTCAAACCTTCGCGGGGCTACATTGGTCGATATTTTTTTGGTCAAGAAAATTAAAGTCCGCGAAGCTCAAGTTAGCATACTGTGAACGCTAAGGGTTCTGTTATTTCATTGACTCGCGGCTCTTCAAGTTGACACATTCCTCTGTGAAGGCGTGATATGTTTATAAATCTTTAGAAGGCGAAAACTCGCACTCGTTTTTCGAGAGAATCCCTTCTCTTTA